GTGCTAGCTCCACACTGAGAAATCCAGAAAGGCCCACCTAGAGTCCAAATGGACCAAGGAAGGATCACCTGGCAGACTGAGTTTTAGTGATTTAATTTTCAGTTAATGTGTTCTAAAATAAGTACTGTAAGGTCTAAAATCACTGCCAGCGACTATGTAGACTAGCAAAATAAAAAGGGTTGAAACATTAAGGAATTTAAAAAATTTTTGTTTTAAAAATACTGATTTTAATAAGCTACTAGGGTGAAGAAACCTAAAAAGCCATATATCTACTCAGAATCCTAAAAAATAATGGTCTGGTGAAAACATTGGGCTGAATATGAAAAGACAAAACAAAACTCCAGGAAGATAGACTATAAATTACTAACAGTGCTGTCTTGGGCAAACCACTTACATTCTACAGCTCAAAGGCAAGCTGCATAAACAAAGCAATTATATAAAAGTACCTAATGTACACAGTAAACTCAGAACAAGCAATTTTTTTTTTAAAAAAAGCAACTTCGCTAAAGTATTAATTTACATAAAATGTGATGCACACGCCTGAATACTATTGCCCCGATCAAGACATGGAGCCTTCTCACCACTCCTCTGCCCATATCCTGCCCCCAGCCAGCTTCTGATCCACGCTGGCAAGAAAGGGTAGTTTTGCCTTTCCTAGGATTTCAAGTCATGTTATCTTTTGTGCCTGGCTTCTTAAGCTCAGGGTAACAGGCTGAGATCACTGTGTGCATCAAGTTTGCTCTATTCCACTGCTGGGTAGTATTCCCTCTCAGGCACACGGCTTTATCTGTGCATGGACATGTGCATTACTTCTAGTTTCTTTAAACTATGAATAAAACAGCTATCAGAATTTATGCCTATGTCTTTGTGTAAGTGTAAGTTTTCATTTCTCTGGGATAAATATCTAGGGATGGAACTGCTGAGTCATACGGTATGTATATGTTTCACTTCATAAGAAACGCCAAAAATCACTTATCATCCAAAGCGATGATAAGGTTTCACAGCCCCACCAGTAATGTATGAGGGCACCAGCTGCTCTAATCCTCACCAACATTTGGTGTCATCAGCCTTTTTAATTTGGGATGTGTTGTGGTTTTAATTTGCATTTCCTTGGCGACTAAAGATACCGAGCATCTTTTTATGTGCTGGTTGGCCACCTGTATACCTTATTTTGTGAAGTGAATGTTCAAATCACATTCTTGGGTCTTACTAAGTTGTAATATATTTTTAAATTGTTGACAGTATTACCAGATGTCTAAAAGGGAGTGAGAACACAGCCCTGAGCCCTCCAACTCTCAAAGACCAGAACAGGAGGCCCAGAAAGAATACAAATTGAAGAAAGGGAAGAAAATAATATAATGCCTCAAAAGCAAGCAAAAAAAAAGAGATTTAAGAAGGACGGAGAGATTAACTATATCAACTGCTGCTGAGATTAAGTAAAATGAAGATAAGAGAATTGGATTTGGCAAGATGGGAGTCTTTATTGACCTTGATAATAATAGTTTCAAAGGTATAGTGGGAGATATTAATGAGAAAGTGAAGACAAGTATAAATAGCTCACTGAAATGATTTTGCCATGAAGGAGAGCAGAGAAATAGAGTAGAAACTCACAGGGGATGGAGGGTGGGTGAGAGTGAAAGGAGCCTGGTTTAAAAGATGTTTGAGAGATAATATTACTGGCAAGTGATAGAAGACGGGATCCAGGGAACATGGAAAAGAGGTAAGGGCAACAGGAAGGGCACAAAAATGGGAAAAGTGGTTGCTTCTTGTTTTCCTAGCGAAATGAGTAGTTTGCTCATCAGCTAAGAATAAAGAGGGAAGGTTTGAAGAGGTAGACATGTAGGAGCTATAAGGTAAAGAAAGTTGGTAATAGTTATAAATAAAACACATATGCAGAATCTTTCCTGAAAACAAAGTCAAATACATATAGATCATAAACCAGCATGTAGTTAAAATTTACCTGCTGTGCAAGCAACTTGGGGGGCGGTGGCAGGTGAGAAGATGGTCCACGTTCCTATGGATTGTTACAAAATAATTAGAGAAAAATACCTACTGGGAATGTTTCTGACTGTAATTTCTTTTTTCAGTGAAACCACAAGATTACAAAAAGCAAACAATCATTATTCTTCGTTTTCAATAAAACTGCAAGGTAACTTTACGTTCTATAGAATTACTCTGTGATTTCTATAAGGTTAGGATCTCAAAAGAACTTTGCAAAAAAGTAAGATTTTAGTGTATAAAGTCTGGAATTCTAGTCCAGGTAAGTTGGCTGCTTAGAAATATGCTTCTAATTTTGAATTTTTATTTATGTAAACCCAATACTTTTTCTGGATTTTCTCTCTAACATCAAACTAAAACGGAGATTTACCTAAAGAAAAAAACAACATACATCTAAAACATGTTGGAACCAGATACAATATATGGATATTCACTTGGTAATCTATACATCAGTGTCACAAACCCAGAAAAAATTTAGATATCAAAATATGGTCTATAAAATATTTCTCGGCAGCAAAATATCAGACATTTGTCATAGCAATATCTTTACTGATACAGCTCCTAGGGTGATGGAAATTAAGGAGAAAATAAACAAATGGGACTACATCAAAATAAAAAGCTTCTGCACAGCAAAAGAAACCATCAACAAAACAATAAGAAAGCCCACTGCGTGGAAGAACATATCTGCCAGTTATCACTGATAAGGGCTTAATCTCCAACATCTAAGAAACTCATATAACTTAACAAAAGGAAGATAAATAATGAGAT